ACAGCAAGCTGGAGCAACCATTCTCTGGTATTTATGCATTTTCAGGAACAATTGCTATGAAATTCTGTGCCGTCCGGACATACTACCATTGGCTGCCTCAAGTGTAACTGTATGCCCAATCCACTTTTCAACGGAAGCATACAAAACCAGGACATAAATTTTATTCTCATCTCACGACGCACTGCATATTCAGACAAGCCACTGATCCGCCCGAGCACACCATGAAGTCTATCCGCCTTGTAGAATGCCTGCCAGACTCAAGTCTTCAGCCGGCATGTAACAAGAGTCCATATCTCCGCCGATCTTGCTGTTGAACCGAGCTATTCAACCACCAGACAAAGTGATTCATAGAATTCATATCAACTTCATCAGAGCTGAATCACACCACTGGTGGAGGGATCACACTGTGTTCCATGCGCTCATCCACAACTCCACGCATGGCGGGCACACCCGGCGGTGCAGAGCCAGTTACATTTTCGTAAGACAAAGACAGCAGTGGACTAGCAGCAATGAATTAGTTGCGCGAGTGCCATTAATAGAACAGGCTGAACCTACTGTTCTAGGCATGGCCGCGCAGGACATTTGTATCCTTTAGGGGGCAGAATTGTTGCTTGGCACTCTGCCTGGGCTTTTGAGGGTTTTTAGTCTAGTTTTCTGCATGGAACCCACACAATCAGGCAATTTGTCAATGGAGGCCACATTGACTGTGTTCTCATGATGGAAGCTACAGTTAAACCACACATCTTTGATTGTTGTATTGTTCACGGGAGATCCGCGTTCGACTGTCGACGCGAGCTTCCTATGAACAGGGAATGTGGGCCCTTCCTGCTTACCGGGGCTGGGCAATGTCAGCCCCTGTGAGAATTGATCACGAGGATAGAACTCACGGTCGAGTCAACGGCTCCGAAGTGCCTTTCGGGGGCAGAGGTGGGGGATGGTTTCGGGGGGTCTCCAGCACGGAACGCACCGGAAGGCAATCACTGATTCTTTGCACGAGCCCGCGGAATGCACGGCCTATCGAGGCAATGGTGAGTGTTGGCATCCTGAATTCGAGGTAAGCGACTGGTTTAGATCTGTAGAGCAAACACACCGTTCTGGATATTCCACGGAAGCGCCTGGGAAAAGGCGGTATGGGCGGTTTTATCATCAATGGTGGTAGATGATGGAGGGAGATTCGACAGTAAAATTCGGAATCAGCATCTCAGCCTGGTAGCTCGATTTGTGATAAAAGCATAAAAGATGCGCGGGCGTATCTTTGGCCGGGAAACACCGCCGTCGCACCTCAGGCTTTCAGCAGCTTGAAGGCCCAGATCGTGGCGCTTAAGTAGGGGTGGAGAGAGTCACCGCATTATGTGATCCATCGGTAAATCCGCAGGAATCAGCCTGATGCCTGAGGGACAGGCGAGATCCTCATCCCATTCCAGGGAGCAGAACACGCTCACCAGGCAGAGCAGGAGTCAGGCAGATGAACTCTGTGATAGTCTAGCCTGACCCCACATAGGTAGTTTATCAACCTCATCAAGCCAAAATGTCAAATGTGAAAACTCAAAATAGCACTAATGCAGGCCAACACCCTTGTAGAAGTCAAATGGGGCTGTGCATAACAATTTGTGTGGCCTCCAACGGCTTGAGGATGCTTAGGGAGGATGACGAAAGAAGTTCGTGTCAGTTCCCAGCAGATAAATCCGACATGTCCAGGATTTAAAGATGCAAAGATGCAAGTGAATGGGCTTGAATTAGGGTTGGGCGAATCAGACCCATCACCGGACCGAACCGCGAGGAGTTTGTACCATTGGAGAATAAGTGTGGGCCTCAACCACACCCATATGTATATAAATTAGCCAATCAAAGGGACCAATTGCTTTGACGCATGCTAGATTCGGAGTGATTGATTGTTTGCTGGCAACACCCAAAGTAGAATAGTTTCGGCATCCTCTGGGGACTCATAACCATTCCACTCTAGGCGACAAACTTTCCACCTGTTCCTTGAGAAGATGATGGCCCTCTTCTGTTGAATGCACGCACAGTATGGGTTCGCAAGTTGATAACCACGTCCTTATTGATGCTCTGGCACACTTCAGTGTGACTGAGGTTCTTCGGTCACGGGTAGGACATCTCTAACACAATTAATGCGTCATGCTGCTAACAGAAGCAGGACCTCTATGCCAGCTTTGAGCAATTTTTCTTGCAGGGGCCGAAAAGAGATAGTTTAGAGCTGTTGTTCTCGCTCACTTCGGCTTTCGCCTCCATTGCTGGTCAAAAGTTACTCAATAATTCCACTTCTTCATCGACTCTTCTTCGACCAACTCTTTCAAATCCAGCCCTTCAACTATCTCCAAAACCTGCTCTTCAATCACCCCCAAAACCCGCTCTTTCAAAACCCACCCTTCAACCACCTCCTCCAAAGTCCGCTGTTAAACAAAGTTTTCGGAAGCCTAAAGATGCCTCTTTTTCTTTCGCTTCAGCCAGCCCGGAATACTCGCAGCGCGACGTTACGAAGGTTGCTAAAGCTTACTTTTGGGATAAATTTGGAAATAGTAAGCCAGCACGAATCATCGATCTTTTGGTGGAAGTTTCCTCGCATTTGATTGAGAGTCAGCCCCTTGATGAAGGCTCATATAAAAAATTGTGGGAACAAGCAGGTGCAACATTCTCAAAATCCAGCACATCTCGAATTGTCTGCCTAGAGAATGGCCGGAGAAATTTAAAAAGGGAAAGCAAAATGCAGAGCCTTAAAAGCCGATTGGCACTTCTGTTTGTCCGCATTGAAATTGAAGAAGGCACACTGGCAGCGTCAACTAATCAATGTCGGCAAGGTGTGTCGAAAGCAACTATTGCCATTAATAAGTATGCCCGGGAAGCAAAAGTAACGGTTGACTACGTCAAAAAGACCACCGGTGCTGCTCGTAACTATGCTCAACTTCTTGCTAAAGTTGGACCAGGGGCGTTGATATGTTTGGATCCTCGGTGCTCTAGAATGTGAGGCCCCTGCTCTGCATATTATTGATATGAATGCTAACTGGAGTTTCACAGCTGGGAAAAGCATCTTGTTCAAGGAGATATTGATCTTTTGCTAAAATTTGTGAAAGAAAATTATCCTTCTCGGATAGACATATTTCACAAACATGACTTACTTGGTGTACAGCTGATACTTGATGGGCTACGTAGTTATGGTTGGCAGGACGATGAGCTCAGGGGGTGTAGTGGCAAAGTTATTACCGACATCCTAATTTATCAGGAAAAGAGCGAGAAGAAATATAGCGCCCCAAGCGTATCTGATCCGACAGGGGATGGGCACCCAACCGAATCCGTCGCTGGTCCGGTATCTGTATACCCCGAGCGAAACAGCCTAGTAGAGGTCGAGTCAGACGGCCGCATCATCAAACCGCGCAAGAGACAAGCAATTGTACAGACGAGACACCCGCAGCCTCAATGTTCTGGGAAAGGAGGCTCTAGAAGCTTCAATGTCAATACCAGAAGCATTACTGAGGTTGTCGGGCCTACTCAGCATATTGGATGTGAACTCGCCCGTGGAGAACCAGATGCAACTGGGAGTGAAATGTTCATCGATGCGCCCATGAGTTCACAGCACGCAAGCACTCAGTCAAGCCAGGTACCTGCTACTGATAACAACAGGTCGATCACACCAAGCCAAGCATCTGTTGGTGTGGACGGCTCAGTTCATACCAATTTCAGTCACAATGCGAGCCTTCTGCAAGCCACAAGAGGTATGTCATTCAGCCCTACAAGCTTCGACCAGAATTCAGGGCCACTGCTAACCCATGTGAAAAGAGTCTCCAATTTCCCAATTAAACCGAGATTCTGATGAGGCGGATGGCCATCACGAACAATACATAATTACGCCATCTGGGGTGGAGGGATCAGGCTCTGTGAGCAGTCAGACGAGTAGTGCTGAAATGCTTAGTACTGTACTTGGGGTCATCAACAGACTTGAACGCGCCAACGGGCACTGCTGCGAACCAGTTGATGTCCCGCATACAAATACCGGCCAAACCAACAGCTACTCCGATGAAGGCCTCCGGGCTCTGGTAGCTGCCACAACAATCATCCCTCCTATAGGTGACAGCATTCATGTCGGTGGTGGTGCTACAAAGCGGCCTTATACAGGAGATGATTCTCAAGAAAACTTGAGACGAAGAAGGCTGGGTGAAAGTATGAAACGTCATTTAATTTAGTATGATGTTTTTCAAAAACCGAAGCTAACATATATAGATGAGAGCTCTCTTGCCCAGACTGCTGCCTCAGTTTCCGTTGGTGTGGATGACTCAGCAGCAATCTTGAATGGCAGCTCAACAAGAAATGAGAGCCAGCAATCGGGCATGCAGTCATTTATAGAACCCAATTCTCCAGCAAACGCACCACATTTCCTGCCCCATCCTTCCACGAGCCCCAACAATCTCGTGCAAATTGGTGACTCGACCTGGGGGAATGATGTAGGCCATGGAATTCAAATTCCAAATTTCAATGGTGGGCAGCACAATGTTGAAAAATCTCCGCTGAACAATCCTGCTCCTGGGTCACGAATTGCGCGCTTGACTACAAGAATCTTCACTGAAACTCAGGTATCCAGTGGCGAAGGCAATGCGCAAGGCAGCGACGGTACTGGCTCTCTTGGAACCAGCGAGCCAACAGAGAGACACAGACTACGAATTGCCTCCACCAGATCGGGCTCTTTGACCGCCGCTTGGCCGACCAATAACACGATTGCAAGCTTGGGCAATTCCAGCATGCAGGCTCAAAACCGCGGAAGAAAAGAAGGTTTGATCATCGATCCCGTGATTTTGGCGACGCTAATAATAGAGGACCAAATCTTTCAGCGATTGAATCTTTTCTCCCGCCTACTCCAGTACTCGCGGATAATGCTGGGCTGAATGGTAAGTCCCTTGCGTATTGGATCTTGATTGGTGCTAATTACAACAGGACGTACTGCCCTGACGGTCCCAGTGAATGATTGGACACGTATTGAGATATCAAATCCGAATAGTGATCCACAGGGAAGCCCCAATGCTGGAACATGCTCAACAAATTTACTGAACCAGGGTGAACCATTTAATGTCAACATGACAAATGCGTTGCCGTCGATAGCTTTAGGTATGATGCTTAGATAGTTAGTTGGTTGTTGCTGACCAAACGAAGCTGTGAATGATAGGACTGGACACCCCGTCCACGTTTCTTATTACGCTGAGAAAACTGCACTGCCTAGTTTCACAGATTCTTTTGCTCAGGCAGCGCATGCTATGGGCAATGGAAAACACAATGGCAATTCCACATTTACAGATCGCCAGAAGGTTACGGGAAATATGTCGCCTGACGCATCGATATATGCCCAAGAGATGCAATGCTCTTTAGAAATACCAAGAACAGATATGTACGCACAATCCCCGGGTGCTGGGATCGCAGGCGACGCGTCCCTTTACACGCAAGAAATGTGGCCATCTTATTTACCAACTATTGGTAACCCTGGAGAGGCATCGCGTTATACCCAGGAAATGGAGCGGGATACCACTCAGTAAGCTAAATTCCATTTTCATGTCCATTTCCGTTTTTATTTTACTTTGCTTTTTATTTTTTTGAATACAGCGGAGATCTTTTGAATCAAGGTATAAAATGGTTTATTTACTTTGCTTCCGATATAGGTAGATCATTTCCAGTCCGTACTGCATCGTATATGTATATACAATTCATCGGCGGAGTCAAAATGTCGCTGTTGCTGATCCTCTTAATCATCCCTGGTCCTAGTATTTCGCCTGATTCGATCATTCGTGGGGCACCCGAGATCACGATAATATCTGCGTGGCCGGAGGGATTCGTGAGCTGAAAATTATCTTGTGTCTTCCATGCCGAATACTTGTAGCCCTAGGGCTCGGGTCAGCCTTTGTCTTCCTTCAGATAATACGGATAGCTACCATTTCGTATATGTCTTTTAGAAGTTCATACACCTTTGACCGAAGCCCGGGGTCGCAGCAGACGTAACGATAGCGAGATTCTTTAGAGGTTTCGAATTTGGCATTGCTGAACCATTCTAGAAATTCGAGTCGTTGTTTTTCGTCGACCCTATCGGTGTATTGCCGCTCAGCGCTGGCCATCGCGATATTTATAGTGACTGCATCAAGAGAACAAGTGTTCGTTTGCAGGTTGGAATAAATGATATGTAAAATTGTTTCTGTAATGAGACTTTTCTTCAAACCCCTCGCCTTGATGAGGGGTTGGGCACGCTAGGCGGTAGCTCCTGGCAGTATCATTTACTGTCAGCTGCCACCAGTAGCGACGACTTACAAGTCAAGGCCCATGTCGAGCCGGAATATCGTTGTTCCCATGCGTGGCGAGTCTTGTGCCCCATGAGGTCTGCCTACTAGTCAGCCGACGTCGCGACGACACATGATCTGTTCGTGAATCTCCTGGCTTACCACATGGAGGGTGCACGCCGCATACACCTTGATAATGCCATGGAAATAACCGAAAAGGATGGAAATCGGTATCAGAATGATATGGAACGGGTTGCGCCTGAAGTATCCAAAGAATTTTGCGAACTTGGTGAAGAGCATCCAGAGTAGGAGCAACTGCAAATATCTTCGATGTAAGACCGGGTCGAATTGCGTTGCTCTGTGGCACATCCACAACAATCCGGAGTCAAGAATGATAGCTGGAGGGTTAAGAGTTGTTAGGTAAACTGCATAGGTGCTATAAGGGTGCCTCCTGAGGCCGGTCAGTATGTCACCTATGCTTCGTGATCTCAGCACCGACCTCCAGATGAATTGTTCACAGAACAGACTCTGTAGGTTGCTTCTCCAGTTGCTCCGCGACCAGCGAAGACATTGCTTCAATATACCCAGTTCGCCGCGGACTTTGAAATGAGATACGAAACAAGAGTCATTTTCTTGGAGCGATTGCTCTCCATCACCGATGGCATTTAAGCCAGAAACGAAGCCCAAACCCCGAAAGTGACCCGGCCGCCAGCCACCAAAGGATCTACCTCAACCATTGAGGTCGCTTGCCGGACAGGCAGGTTTGGGGTGGCTATTGATACATTTACATCCCGGCCAAGGGTGTAGATATCAGAAAGGCCGGTGTCAGCCTTACGGATTTAAATCAGCAAAGACAGTCCCTAGTAGGCTCCTCGTGAATTAAGGAGATCCCACTCATCCCACCAATCACTGTCTAGAACCAACACAGAGAAACCCCCCAGATGAGCTTTGATGATAAACTATCTCTCTACACTATATATTGATTAATACACTGGATAAAAGTACTCCTTTCCTCCCCTGCGATCGCTGCCTATGTCGTGTGTGCAGCAGAATTTTAGGGACTTATTTAGGGGGCCTTGTGGCCTTTTATCTATCACTTGGAAAGTCCAGCCAAAATACATTTTTGCTAGCCACACGAGTGTTTTTTGCATTGTATCTTTCATCACCGGTTCGGAACCCGGATTCATTTTCTGGACCACTCTGCGCTTTCCCCCAATGCGTTTATCGGCTCGAAAAGTCCAGCCAGGATATAATTTTGATAGCCATTGGAGGCTTCCGTAAATCATAACTTCCTCTCGGTCGGCGGGCAAAATAATGTTCGAAATGATCTTCGGCAAGATTTGAAGTAGTTCTTTGAGGGCCTGGGTCTCCGCCGTTGAAGCGACTTCCATTACAATGTGATCCAAAGAACATAAAAGATTGATTGCCTCGTGTCCAGGAACAATATCGGTGGCAATACATTGCTGAATAAATTGGAGTCCGACAGTTATCATTGTGAGTGTTTCCTGTAGGTTGATCAGCGATCTGGAACAAGATACTCAACAAGAACTTACTCGTTGTTTCAGCAATTCACCAGTGATAGGTTCATGATCCTCATCTTTGATATCTGCAGCCTTGAATACCTCGAACCTTTCTCTGACTTCGAAAAAATCCGCTAAGCGGTACATTCGAGGGGAAGCCATGAAAGGAAATCAGACTTTATGTGGGTATAGCATGGTGAGAAGAGTAAGTGAGCGACAGTTATATATATGAGGTGATCAATGAGCATACTGTAAGGTCAATCTATAGGTTTTGGAACCGATCTAGGAAAGCTGTTGAAGGAGAGGCTGGGGTGGGTCAACTGCTGGTGGACACCGAAGCTACTTGTGATTCCTGTGCTAGCATAGCGCGAACTGAAAGAAAAGTTGGCCAAAAGGCAGTATGGGACGTTCCCATGCTAAAGGGAGAATATGAGTTCACCATTGGCGCTAAGGCGAGGACGTGCTGTGGTTTCGCGCCGCCTTACGATGCGATCAATGGCTCCATGGACCCCGTGTACCAGTGTGGGCTGTTTGGAATAAAATGCCTCACTTGTGCCTCCGCGGCTAGAATACTGTCAAGGTTAGGGCTGTCGTGCCAGCACCACTTGCCAGGCCAGGCAGTCCAAGCTGTCCTTGAAGGTAATGGAGGGGCTTGGGATCAAAGTATCTTTTCTAGAAATCGACTATGAACCAATCAAGAGGGTTTCTGCCAAAAGCTGAGTCCCAAAAGTTTGTCCACCTATTGTGCATGTGAGCAGACGGTAAGGGGTCTGAACTCATTATTCTAGAAGTTGAATTTGAGTCCCACCTATGGGGTAGCATCGTTTAGCACATACCTCCTGATATAACAGGAACGTATGTAAGGGCTCGAAACGATCACACTGCATGATGAAGGTATGAATGTACGTATCTCCACATTTGTTAAGTTAGACTGCTGAAGGGCTGTGCGCTTGAATTCCAGGACTTGACTATTTATACCCAACCAGCACCCTTTTTTCTACACCAGGCAACCTTGCTTGGAATTTTATGCAGAGCCTTCTACCATTATTAGCAAACATGGCAACCTCCAAAACCGCAGTCGACGCCATATCGGCTTTAATGGACCAGGCCAACAGGTTCGAAGCCATGACAGTGCATCTCGCCAAGTCCCCAGACTTTGCTGCCGAACAGGCGGACAAAATCGTTTACTGGGCCACAAAACTGATCACGGCGGTCACCGACATTAAAAATCAAACCCAGAAGGAGAACGTGATACGCCAGAAACAGCTGGACGAGAAACTTCTCCAACTGAAGGCAGAGGCTGATACAAAAAAGCGAAAACTGACGGAAGCCAACGAATTGAGATCGTCACGGACGATCAGGGCAAACTTCCGGTTGATATTCGGGCCACCAAGGCCGCCAGGATACAAGAGCAGGGCTGCTGCGGCAGCGATGGAGACAAGTTGTCACAGGATCAAGATCATTCGGAACCTATGCGAGAAATACCCCGACGGCGTGATCAGCCTTTCCGCGTCATACACTTCTAAGGTTTGGATCGAGGGAAATTCCTCCATCTTCAGCGGTATTATCCGGCAGGTCAAAGAGGAGAAAGAGCAAGCCTGGCCGGAGGCTATTATCGATATCATGAATGAATTGGAAATCGAGAGGCCCATGAGTGATGAATTTAAAAGTCTGCGCAGTATGTTTGACTTGTATACCTCCCAGCGCCTGACTGATCCTTCGGCAGGCAAGATTTCCCAACGTCTGGGCCGACACCGACGTCAAAGGACAACGGACCCTACCTTCCAACTTCCGAGCCTACGGCAGATGGGAATCGTTTCATCGTCGCGTAGTTCCGAGCTGGTCCATACTCCTCCCATCCAACCAATCCAAACAGCTGCAGGGCCATACCCAGACTCAATCAAAACTGATCGTCGCGGTGCAATTCCCGCATGCCAATCGCATCCTGAGGCGAATGCAAGTCAAACTCCGGCCAGATCCAGCCGGAACAGAGAGGATGGCTGGAGTCCACAGCCGCCATCGAAGGAAAATAGGGGTAAGACGAAAAGTTTAATCATGCCTATCATATTACTAACCCATGCTTAGAAGTAAAATATATTTTCACAGATGCGTCTGCCAGCAGTGTCCAATCGCTCCCAGAGCCATTGAGGAACGCGGTCCAGAACAGCCGACTGTGGAAGTGGGAACGAAGTCAAAACCTCGATATGACCGGCTGCGTGTCGACTCTGTTTCCGAAGGAAAACGGGGCGGACGTCTCCCTCACGGTGTGGTGTGGAAACAAGGAAGCATACAGTATAATCGACGCCTACGGCCTCCAGCTCGTGCCTCTGCCTATGCCCCCGTCTTCGTCCTAGACCTCGAAGTACACGCTCGCACCTCGGATGTACACGGTGTACCCGGGCGGAACCGTGTATCGCTCATAGTCTGTCGTCGGGAAGTCGTGATCTACGTGTGTGTAATAGTGCTCGGTTGTCTCGTCATAGATCGAGAGGTAGCGGCCCTTGAAGTATATTTTCCTTTCGGTGTCGCTCGATGCAAACACATGGCCAGGGATGTTCTCTTCCTTCCGGCCGGCTAGAGCGTCGTCTCCTCTCTATCGATAACAGTAGGTTAGCATTCGACAATACACACTGCGACGAGCGGGATTGAACTTACCCCCATTTTGAACGGTTAACACCACGTCAACCTTTTGTAGTTTCAAAGTAACAATTCCCAAAATGCTGAGATGATGGATCAACCTTTGGATTGATCAGGAAGGATATTTTCTTTTAACAGCGTCCGACAGACCAGAGAGTATTTGAATGCCAAATATACAACATGGCAAGCGGCGTACTTCATCGGTCTAATGTCAAAGGGAGATGGGTGATTTTGTGGCCCTTTTGGCGGGGGCGAATGGAGGGGGCGCCTTGACTTTTCTTGCGAGTCAAATGACTAGTATTGGGCAGCAATGTGGAACTATGGGTGCGACCGCGAGCAAAATTCGATAATGGAGTGGAATAGGCCATGGGTACCCATAGTCACATCGTCCAAATCCTTTTCATTTTCTTCACAAAAAAGGCAACGGTTGTTAGAAAAATATTTCAGCCGCGCTTGTGGGCTGCACTGTGAGGCACATAATGAAATGTTAGAAGTCGACAGGGGCTTCTTCCAGTGCTTCTATGGATGATGAGCTCAGTGTATGATTGTGACTTGATGGCTTGAATTGCCACTATACTAGAATGTGGTAGCTTGATTATGATTGCAACAAAATAGGCGCTTCATATAGAAATTGTACATTTTTGGCATATAGTCGATTTTCGAACGGGAAGGAGTGAATGCTCTGTTTCGAGGCCCCTCACCGCCCGCCGATCGATCGTTGATGAAATTTGCAAGCGAGTCAGATTTGTGAACTCAGGCGTCGTATTATTGCCATTTTCAGTGTTTGGCAAGCCCTGTTCGAGGTGGCGGATGGCCGAGGTGGGGTCTTGGCCTTTGAATTATATAGTATGGGCCAGAATGCATGCTTTCCAGAACTTAACCAAACTGGCCTACAGGAGGTCCTTACAGCCTCCTCCAGCTGGATTTTTAGTGCGAAGCCTATTTTTCAGACTGACAATATATCAACCAATAGAGGGCAAGAGACTCAGGAATGACCCAGACACGTCTGACTTTTCGGGAGTGTTGGATCTTTCCACATCCACTTCTCCCTATTCCAACAAAAACGCCATCCGCGGAATGAGACGAATGGCCTGTGGCGCTCGACTCGTATGATCCTCGCCTCAAGCAATGCGCGGGCTTAAACAACGCGCTTCACCACTAACCCGATTAGTATCGCAATTCAAAGTCAGCAGTTATTCGACGCCCTTGAACAAACATAACAAACACGTGAGTTTTTGGCTGATTCGTTTGTATTTGATGCTGTGGTTTATTTTCTAGAAACGGGACCAAATCAGAAGTTAATTATATGTTACAAAATTGAACTGAAGAGCTATGAAGACTTCCTTTTCTGGGAGCTATGTTTAACGCCAAGTGAATGGGGGGAGGGCACGCTTAGTGCATTTCCTCTATTCGCCATATGTTGAGTATAGCATCGGAGCAGGTCATGAATGCTTGTACTTCCAACATAAAAGGCGGCATTCCCCGTGGTTTGATCGCTATAGTAGCAGCATCAAATTTCAAGTCATTTTTCCGAATGGCTCGCGGAGGTTACGACACCACCGGTATTCCGAAGCCCCAACAACCGCCAAAGCCTCGATAAATAGCTTTTTTCCTTTTGTCTGGCCCAAGATGATTTTGGAAGAATTTGATATGGGCTTTGGGTATCGTGGATACTGGGAAATGGAAGGGGTTCTGCCAGGCAATAGCAATACTTTGATTGAAGCTCTCCGGGAATTCTATGCTCCAGCGTCCATGAAAGCAACTCTCCAACGACAACCGAATTCTCAGCCCAATGGCTTAGAAAATGCCATCCGCACCGAACCTGAGTCGTTCTGGAGGCCAGGAGGCGAACTTGGGTTAGCTGTTTCAATTACAGCCTCAGACTGTGCCATGTATGCTCATATGGCTGTACAGGACATGGGCCGTTGTTGGGACAGACGATGCAGGGAGGCGCAGCGCTGTATTCAAGCAATCCCTGAATCTGTTGGCTTTTTCTGGAGCCTCGCGTGGGTAAGGAAGCCTGAGGAAAGCCTTTTCATCTATGCTAATGGTTTCAGCACTTCCGCATATTGCGAAATTTCCACAGCTTGACAGCGATATTGCAGGCTTTGAAGGCCACTAGGAAGAAGGACCAAGGTCATTTATACTCCCTCCTTGATCCAGAGGGACGATATCAGAAGTGCAGGGACGCATTTTCCATGGAAGGGGGAATCCCATTCATGTTTGCGGAGATGGCGCACAGAGCATATCAGCAAGAATTGAAACAAAGGCTATTGGATTCAGAGGCCCGATCACAGCTTAGCAGGACTCACATTGAGAATGAATGGGATGGGCGGATGTGGTTTGATAGAGAGCCATTAGATGGCCGCATATTTGTTTGGTTTCGTTCTTGGCTCCCATGTCTGGCCAAGTAAAGTGCTTAGGTATCCAGCGTTGCCGAAAGTTTGTCCTATGCCTTTGTTTTTCATATGTCTATATAGGCTACCCAATTGAGGAGGATCACCGTGGTTGACAATTACCTTGTGTTCGCTAGATGACGCAAATGTGATGTCAAAGGCCAGGCCAGGTAATAAATTTTTGCACATCCGAGAAATATCAGCTCAACGTGTAGCGGAGTGATGACAGGGCCCGTGCTAGTTCAGGCTTCAAAGACAGACAGTAAACAAAATTTGCCATATCCATGATAGGGCATTTAAGATACTGAATGTGCAAAGTTCCATCTGAAACACTATCCAGCATTCTTGATCGAGTGTCCAAGCTGCAGACAACCCATCATTTCCCGCAGTGTGAGGTACACAATCTCAAGTTGCTTCCTGCTGGTCAGCCTTTGCACTGGGATATGCCTGCTCTGCTGCAACTCCATCAGTGTTGGAATGAAGAATTTCCACCCGCGAGATTTCTGCACAACATTGGTATGAGTATTCAACGAGGCTTTGGCTTCAACGTGCTAAAGGACGGGGCAAAGGTCAAGAATGAAGAACGAGAGATGGCCATTTCCACAGCTCAGGGTCAGGCTTTAGTGCCTCTTTATGAATCAGACACCAGTGACCAATATAAGTTGATGAACATACCACTATCGGAGGACATCTTCGTCCCTGCAGATCACTGCGACAGAGGCTTCATATCATGAAGGATGAAAACCCGGGCCTTGACGCCAACTTTGCACCCTCTGGTACATTCGTGGATATTCACATAGGTATGTTTCTATGCAACTGTGAAGACAACAAGGCTGATTTACCTCGGATCAAAACCGGCATGCTCTGTCACAGTCAATCAGTACGTCACGGCGTATCTGGCTTCTGTACCCTCCCACTGAGTCTAACCTCCGTGTCTTTGTTGGATCATCTGGTGAAAGTGGTCGTCTCACCAAGATATCCGGCCAGCTAGAAGGGGGTTATATTATAGAAGCTAGTTCATCCGAGATTATCTACCTTCCTCCCATCTGGCTTCACGCCACCTTCACAGTATGCAGTGGTGTGCTAGTCGGTGTTAATTTTGTCTCACTCGACACATGAAGCTTCAGGCAATGTGAAATGGTCAATGCCCCGAAGATATTTCTATGACCAACCAAGGGTGTGAAACACCATGAATAGCATGCTTCCACTCCTCCTTAGAATCAGTTCCAGCTGCCTCATACTCTCTATATGTTGGTAAATATGAGGATATTGTAATGTTGAGATTGAACTTTTTTGAAAACAGAATGCTGAGATAAAGCCGCCCTACACAAGTCTAGTCTTTCTCCCTTACATATAGCTTTCACCCCTTGTACTAGCTTGCAGCTTAGTGGTGGTGTCCATCATGGGGTTGAGACAAAGAGAGCCTGAGGCAAGACATTTGTCACAGATGGAAGCATGTAGAAGGAGATAGAAGTCACTGAGATTTCATGCTGGGGGTGTGAGCCAGGTTTGCAAGTTAGAGAGCGACACTGGTATGTGAATTTGGCCATGCGACAAGAAGGTTCCTGGTGAGAAGAGAGTATGGAAACAAAGAGATCATGAGAATAGCTATTTATACAGAACTGTTGACTTTTTGATTGATAAGCCCTAACA